GGAGGTTATCCCTACATGAGATATAATATAATGAAGATCTTGGGAATGTGGGAGAAAGTTGTAGAGTTTGTGGATAAAAATCACCCCGAAAAAGTTGCAACTGGTCGTGCATTGGAGTTGTTCGACGAAACTCATTTCTGCAATTCAAGTTGAGCCTCATAATTTTTTACCTCTCTTAATTTTCTGTCAAAAATTTCCTTATGTTGTTCTAATAATTTATTTAAACTACTCTTTTGAGAAACAGAAATTGACTTTATTGAGGACCAATCTAAATTTATCTTTGAAAGCCATTTCTTGACCAAATATTGTATCCAGGTTTTCTTTAACAATGTAAAGATTTAAGTTTTTATTTTGACCTCTATATTCTACCTTAACTGTACTAAATCCTAAAGGTATCAGTTTTTCTCCACTGTATATTTTAAATACCAGACTTGTACTTTTAATTCTCTTTTCCTAAATTTGCCAGAAATTTTTTAAACTCATTACTGATACTGCATCTCCTGTATCTAGTTCTATAGCTACCGGTTTTCTTTCTATGTTCACTTGTATCATTATGGGCGGTTTCCTATTTTTCACCTTACTGGAATGTATGCTGTTAATAGGAACTGTATTTTCATTTCCTACATCTAACTGTTTTTTTTTTTTTTTTTTTTCACTTTCATTTATTCAGTGTTTTTAGTGTTGTAGCATGCCCTTTCAATGTGCCTCATTTTATTACAAAATCTGCAGATACTTGTCTTAAATTTACAAGAATTTTTATCGTGGCCAGTCCCCATACATCGTGAACACAATTTGCCTTTAGCACTCTTAGCTGCAAAGTTTTGTTTTTCAAACTTTTGTTTTGGAGTAGATTTGACCTTTATTCCTAGCACTAAATTCCTTAATTTCTATTGGTTTTCCCAATTATTTCATTTGCACCGTTTAAAGCCTTTTCCATTGCCAAAGCTATTTTTAAAGTGTCATCTAAACTGAGATTCATCCTGTTCAAAAATTCTATCCAGAATAGCCTCTATCTCTTAGCCCACTAGCAAAACACATCCCGCAACATCGTATTTAACATGTTCTGATAGTAAGCACATGGTATGGCAAGTGACCTTAATTCTGCCATATACATACTAATTGCTCCCCCCTCGTGCTGTTTTTGATTTAAAAATATATGTCTGCTAGGAATTATAAGTGGCTTAGGATTTAAATGATTTTTTAATGTTGTTTTTAACACATCATAATCTTTATTGAAAGGGTTATCTCAGGAACCAGCAAGTTTTTTTAAATTTTTTTACGTTTACTATACATTTTTCTGCACAAACTAGAAATCAATACTTTCCCATGCTTGTCCTGTGGAACATTTTGCATATCTAAATAACTTTCGAATCTTTCCAAACAGAAATCAAACTGCTTTTCGTGTTCATTATATTTTTCAAACTCAACTGAAAGTTTAGAAGTGTCCATTTGTGGAGTAATAACTGAAGTAAGTCTCTCCATTACAGCTCTATTCTGCACTATTAACTCAGTTACAAGCTGCTGCATGATCTTCCAAAAGAAAAATGATTATAAAAGCTTTACCTTGAGCAGTCTTCGGGGAATCCCCTAATCCTTATTTGCATTGCATTAGGCACATTTTTTTAAAAATCCCACATCCATCATCGCCAGCTACCGTGTATCCTTTAGAGGGTAATTGTTTCACAAGACACACTCTTTTAAACTACATGCTACTTTTATTACATATAAAAATATATATCATCACTTGCATACACACTTATATCTACAGCTACTCGCATTCCAGTCCTTTTCTTACTACTGCACGTGCTTCAATGCTTGGTGCTGTGCCAGCTTTAAGTCCGATTATGATATACCCCATCGATAGTTCTCGATATACCACACTAGACATTAACTGAGAACAGCTATTTTTGAATTATGGATTATTAAAAAAAAACTGCAGCGATGAAAACCATCTAAAAAAATGCAATTTTATGAGGGGGGTGTTACAGGGAACCACTCAGCACACACCGAAGAAATTCCATGCAATCACACGCATATAATCATACATAAAAATAAATAAACATACATATAGTGATTAAATGTAAAGCAGGGACTAAAATATGTAGAATTTTGCTATGGAATTCATGTGTGGAGAAGGTGCACTGAACCGATACGAGGTTTGTTGAGCTGTAGATATAAGCCAATAGGTAGCTTATACCTACAGCTCAACAAACCCTGTATCGGTTCAGTGTACCTTCTCGACACAATAGATACAAATGTAGATAAAAGCATTCTGGGAGTATAAGTCATTTGGTATGTATACTACACTAAAATGGAACTCATCGACATGTATTTTATCCATGCAGCAGTAGAGAGCAGATATTCAAAGGAGATAATAATAACAATTCCTGAGTAGTTCCTTTGAGCACTGTTCCATTTTTGTCAGCAGCCACATATATAAAATACATGCCAGTGTTTATCTATGGAAATATCTAGTTCTGACGCATGACATTTGAAATTTGCACAGGTGATGGCGTACACAGCAGAATGTTTTTACCTACTGCTCAAAAGTTCCTTACAATACTTCAATGAGCTATTTTCACACATATGCACACACATTCTATTATGAAATCTGCTTATTTGGATTCCCACTATTGGCTTTCATATTTTTTAATCACCCTGTATATATATACACATATAATATATGTATTTATGCGAACATACTAAATATATATGTACACATATACCGTATATTCTGGCGTATACTGCATACCTGTAATTTCAAACTACAATTTAAAATTTTTAGGTATGTAACACGCATCATTTTTGTTAGGAAGAAACGTGAAAGATACACATGTGATGCTGTTATCTTCTCAAGTCATTAATTCAAAGGTTTTTCACATTCTTTCTAACTAAGGTATACTGAATTGATAACTGATAAGGGGGGGGAATATGTGTGTGGGTGAAATGCTTGAGAGAGTAAATAATTCTGCAAAAAAAAGGGGGGGGGTCGTATTCAATGCATATGTACAAGAATGTTAGTCCAGGGTTTCGAGAAAAGGGGGAAATATTTTGAGATATAAATGCACTTCCAACCCGCAAGAATTCACAGAATTAGGAGTCAGATGTTTTCTCTTTCTGTAGTCATTTGAATCCATGATTTTAAAGTGAATATCAAAGGGTTTAGTAAATCACATTTGCTTTAGCTGAAGTACAGTTGATCTTATATACCCTTCAGTAGCAAATACGGCTTCTGCCAAACGAAACAAATATAATGCTGGTTTTAAATGCAAAATCGTTCAATTTGAGAAAGAAAATAAAAGTCGTGCTGCAGAAAGGATGTGTAGTACTGGTGAGAGCATATGTGAATGGAAGAAAAATGAAATCACAATAAATAATATGCCAAAGAACAGATAAGCTTTTTGGAAAGGAGTAACAAAATGGCCTATCCTAGAGGAAAGTGCTATGAACTGTGTCCTAGAAAATAGCCAGAATTGCCAGTAACATCATTTAGGTACACATAGAAATCAAATTTTTGTATGCTTATCTTTTCCATATTTTTAAATCTATCATTTTCATATTCAGCGTATAATTCAACCCCCCCCCATAAATTTCGATCTCATTTTTTTGTATTAAAAGTCTCTTTATACACTAGAATATACAGCATATAACATAATTTAGAAAATTAACAAGATCCATAACATATTCCAGCAATATTCTGATTCCTCTGCTTTAACGAAAAAAATATATATTAATGATTACTGATTCATTTCTAATATTTAATGGAATGCAATATTAATTTATTATAAATTTATACAATCTGTCGAAAATGCAAGGCCATGTATTATTTTAATAAACAATGGATAATCTGGAATTTAAAAAGAAATTTTGACATATCAGTGTCATACAATTTTCTTTGCATTGTAACTAAATAATAAATTATGCACACTTTATATTATACAATCAAAAGCCTTTAATCCGTACTTGTCGGGACTTCCGCGATCCCGGATTATCGGTTTTTCCGGATTATAGATCATCAATTTAAATCTGGTAAGATGGCATGCAGAAATTATAAAATTAAAAATATGAAACTGTAATTTATGAAATAAAGAGGAATTCTGATCTAAAGGGTATCAAAATTTACAAAAAAAAAAAAAAAAAAAAAAAAAAAAAAAAAAAAAAAAAAAACTTAATATTTATTTGTTTACTTTATTAAACATTTTTTTCAATGTGCACAAGTGTAAAGCATACATTACACATAGTAGAAATTAGAAAATTGCAACCAGAAAACTATTTGATGTGTATTCACGCTACTTATAATGATGAGGAATTTGATTTAAATCATATCAAAGACGGAGTACATCGAGATGAAATACTACATTTAGTAAGGAATTATAAGCCGAATAAAATAAAAACATCTGCCCTGAAGATAAGGACAGCGCTGACAGATCAACTTCCAGTTCATTGAGTGCCGCGACGTCCCCCCCCCTATCACCCGCAGAGCAGCGTGAAATTGATAAACAGATTTTGGAATGGTTAGAGAAACAAAGGATATGCCTTCATCCAGTTTTTGCACCAATTAAACTTTTTGTTTGATGGACATCGAAACATGCTTTCGCTTTATAGATCCTTTGGCAGCTCCAGAATCGGAAATTCTTTCACGCTTACTTTAATAAAATTGCTCTAAGAGTCTGCAAAAAATAATAAGCCGGATCCAATTAGAAGATTAAGGAACAACACAATGTGCAACATTAACTGAAATAGATAATTAGATAATTTTAGCTTAGCTTATACAGTCCGTTATACATTAAACGCACATGTGTAAACGTATTATGTGCATGCGTATACGCATTATGCATGTACTCATACTCAAAAAGTTTGTAGTTTTGAAGTCTGGATTATAGATCATTCCGGATTATGGATGTCCGGATTAAAGACTTTTGACTGTACTTAATTTCTAACTTATATAAGGATTCATATAAAAGCTTAAATTTTATTATTATAATCAGAAATTCAACTACCTTGAGCTGCTCAGATGTTCATTAGAATTCCTTTGAACACTAGACTGCCTTGGTTCAGACGATGATAATTTTAAAAGATTTTGCCATTCCTTTTCCCATTCATCTTCACAGAGAATTAATCCTGACTAAGATATAATATTAACCAAATTAAATTATTTTTTGTTTATGAGACAAAAATGATGATGCAAAGCAGCAGAAGTTCTTTAAAAACAAAACAAAATTTACATTTTCTAAGATTTTAACTATCCACAATTCTATAAAACATGTTCATATGAAAAAATAAAATATCATTATAATTATATACATTTTCATAAATTATGTAATGAAGAGGAAATACAATGAGTGAACTTCCCTTATTTACTTTGTAAACAATATGTCACAGACAAAAACATATCAATACAATTTGCGTAACTTTTTTAAAGAATTCTGCAAATATTACACAATATGATTAAGAATCACTTTATAAACATAAACTGCAGTAATAAAATATTTTCTATATCAGACCAAAAATGTACTGAAATTTGAAGGCTAGAAAATATTTCCACAAAAATTCTGTATCTGCAAGGAGACAATGTAAAAAACATTCTATTAGTGTAGTTATATTTAATTGTTCATAAATAAAGCAAGCAATAGTAATCTATGACAATAAAGTCAGTTCAAATCTTTCAAAATCTTCTGGATAATTGCATGTTTCTCTTTATTTATAATGTTAATGAAAAAAGAAGTCCTCATCAAATAAAAGAAAAACATGCTTAATTTGCAGTGTTAAAATGATCTATATAAATAAGCCTATTTTCAGTCCAAAGGGCAACTGAAGGACTATTGTTTTCTTTTTCCGATTTTGCGTTGAATCACTATAAATGTCCGTTACACTTTTCAAACTGTTGCCATGAAATGTTAGAGTCCTGCATTATATTTGATGAAATTAAATAATGAAAAATCTGCATAAATGTGTGTATATTTCTTGCATTGTGATAAAACAATGGTACATAGAGCCATCGAATTTTGAATGACGTAATTCTCCTACGAATATGGGCATGTGGAAGACCAAATTTGAAATTGTTTTTATTATCGATTTCAGATTTTGTAAAACTTGTAAAAGTTTTTTAAATGAATTTTTGAGTAACAAACTCAACGATTTAAAAGCGAGCAATGGCAACACTCTACAGGGTTAAAAAAAAAACCTTTTTATCTCCAGCGCACGGAACTGTGTGTCAGAAATTCTAAAGGTACGCTCATTTTAAAATTATTTTGCAACATTGCTTTTGAACTGAATTTATGGTTTAAGTGCAAAGAACATGATATTTAATAAATAAAGGTAACCCACAAAACTTTCAAAAAACACCCCTTTGGACGTAATTTAAAAATCTGAAACCTTACAGATTTTTTATGTTTTTGAATTTAATAAAATGCTGTGAAAAGTCTACTTTAATTTAAAGAAATTTGAAATAGAAAAAATATAAAGCCCATACTGTCTCCAGATTCTTAATAAAAGAATCATCCAGAAAACGTTTCAATCAGCCTATGCATAAAAAGTTTTAAAAATAAAATTTTAATCCACTATACTGATGTGGACATTAAAAAACATTATCTGCAGGGTTTTCACCATTTCATACGATCTCTGTCCCTTCTTTATTCTGCTACACAGAACTTCTCTAAATTGTATTAATTTTGCCATGCCTTAATTCTGCTACACGATGTAATTTTATGGGTTGAGCTAGTTCTCCATATCTCCAGCAAAAAAGGTGAGAAAAACATATAATTTAGAGATCAGATAAAAGTCAATTTAAAATATAACATAAAATTTTAGTAAATAATACTAAAAAGGACTAAGTTCCATAAATACTACATAAAACACTATATTTTAAGATTTTTAATAAGTTGCAGCCTTTCAGACTTCAAGAAACCAATATAATGCAAAGTTTTTCAATATCATCCAATTATAGGAACATGATTAATATGTCTGATTTTTATCTTAAAAAAATCTGAGTTTGGTAACTGTTAATATTACCCAAAACAACATTTCCAGATTTGTTTTTATTATTCAGAAATACTTCACAGGGTAGGTGAATTATATTTAAATCTGATATTGATCTTTAGGTTTGAGGAGTGTAGAAAAAGAGATAGAGGGTGCTGCGCCGCCTGTATGCTTAGCTACTTAAGAGTTTACAGCAGAGAGGGTTGAGAGGTTGATGAGAGTGGCATAAACTAGATACTCTGTAATCTGTGCTAATATTTGTACATAGTCTTCTCTTTATTAAATAGATTTAGTTAAAGGAGAGTGTCTTTGTTTGGCCAATAGAACACAAGAACCACCGATAAAAGAAGATGTAAGTAAGTTATTACATACATCAGGTTTTTGGTAGCATCAGGCCAGAAGGTGAGTCATTTCATTTTATCTGCATGCAATTTATCTTTGATAATGAGTTTTGAAGAAACCGTCAAGAGAAATAGAAAAATTAGAGGTTCGGTTCGTACCAGAGTAACAAAATTAATAAGGAAATTGGACGAGGAATTGCAAAGCGAGAATCCGAACCTAGAAGTGTTGCTGGAATCACTTTCAGTGTTAATCGAGAGAGAAACTAGCTTGTTAAAATATGATGAAGTTATTAATGCTCAAAGCACTGTTCAGGAATTAGAGACAGAAGTAGAACATTGTTTAGAATACAGCGAATCCATCATTAGATGTAAATCTAAAGTCAATAGATATATTCAAGTTTCGGAAATCAAAACTAATTATAATACTAAATTGCCTCGCATTACCTTAGAAACTTTAGCGGTGATTTATGTAAATTTACTGAATTTTGGGCTCAGTATAAAGCTGCCATTCACGAAAACAATACGCTTCAAGATGTTGAGAAGTTTAACTATTTAAGATCTTTACTCACTGGTTCAGCTGCAAAAGCTATAAGCGGATTGCCATTTGATGCTAAAGCAAAGTTTATAGTTTGAAAAAAAAAAAAAAAAAAAAAAAAAAAAAAAAAAAAAAAAAAAAAAAATTAAACATTTAGCAATAGTAGCAAAAAAAGCTCCCTGAGATAATATGTTGTGCAGACATTGAAGACAATAAAAGGTTTTGAACTTAACCAATTTATTAACAATATAATAAAGAATAAAAACACAGAAAATAAATTTAAACAATATCAGAGTCTTAGGAAAAATATAATATAACCATCATTCATCAAATAATATTTTTACCTGGTCTCCAAAAACACTGGCATTCAATACAAACAAAATGTCCTAAACAGTAATTATGCAGCCTAAAAATGAAGCTGGCTACACATTCAAAAGTCCATGATCAATGGTCGAGAAAAACACCTGAAATTTAAATCAAGTTCTTGAAAGCACTTAAAACCGGCCTAACTCCGTTTGCATTAGTTGCACAAGGAATCGCCGCTCACGTATTTTAAATGCCGCCTTCATTGAAGAACATGGATGCCGCCCACGGCAGTCACTCACATGGTAGCCTCTGGAACCAAGGAACTTATTTTGGAACAATCATCTTGTGGACATGAACCAAGGAACTTTATTCAGGAACAGCATCCCGCAAACAGGAACCAAGGCACTTTATTCACCGGACTGCATGCATCCTTCTGAAGGGGCTGGAAACCGCTCACTCAAGTGCCAGGAAAGCAGGAACTAGAAGGGTTGAGCCAGAGCGACGCGAGATACTTATAGCAGAAATAGGCATGACGTCATCTCACGGCAACCAGATGACGTAACATCACGTTTCGTTTTTGCATCTCAATTAGGTTGAAACAGTCTGTTCTCAACGTAAACAGTGGCAGTAAGAAAAAGAAGTAGAAGTAACTACTATAACACATTAAAATAAGAACTAAACTAAATAAGCATTTCAAGGAGGAGAGATGATGCAGTAAAAGGTTTACAATAAGTTATATTTTCCAACACCATTAATAGGAGAAAACTATAAAAAGCCATCGAAATCTTAACTGACAGATTGGGAAAAAAGAAAATTAGTTAGCGTGCATATGAACGTTCTCCTAGTTTGGAGCAGTACGTCGTTCAGTGATTATCCAGTTTAAGAAAACTATGATGAAATAACAGTCAAACAAGAAGTTAGATGCATTAGATATTAATTTTAATTCTTACGGCAATCTATTACTTCTATTTTATATAAGTGTATACCACAAGATTTAGTGTTACAGTTTAGTAGGGAGCAAAAGGTCGGCACAGAGTCAACAGTGTCAAATTTATTGTTGTTTCTAAAGAGAGAAGTAGAAGCGCGAGAAAAGTCATTAACTCTGGGTCTTAAACAACAAACACTTTTGATAACCAGTGAAAGAAATACCGACAACTATCGTAACAGTGTTGCTCCAATTAAAAAGAAAATGGTATGAGCGGTGATGCTTAATACATCAGTCGAAAATTATATGTGCGACTTTTGTCTTAAATCTCACCTCTCAAAAGACTGCGACTTAAGTATTTCAGAGAAACACAAAGCATTATATGATCAATTTAAGTGAAAGCGCTGTTTAAAAAAGTGTCACAAAAAACCATTTTGTAAGGCAAAATGGGTTAAATGTAATATTTGCAAATCTTTGTTGCATTTAAAGAGCCTGTGTGATGCAGATGGGCAAGAAAATAAATCCATTAAAAATACTGCGAGCGCAGCAAAAGAGACAAACGTTAGTTCACTATTCCTCGAAAACACTGAGCAAGCAAATTCTAATGACGTGATTTATATCAAACACTGAGAGGTCAACTGGTAGGAAATAATTTCACATTAACGTTAGGTTGTTATGCGATTCTGCTTCCGAAAGATCTTATGTTTGTCAGTCTATTTCTAGGAAAGCAAGTTTACCAACTACTGGTAGAGAAAGATTAAGAATTTCATACATTTGCATCTTCGAATCCGCCAGTGAGAGAATTTAAAAGGAAAAGACTTTCTTTAAAAAATAAGACCGGGTTCAATTCTAATCATCGAAGCACTTCGAAGTAAAAACCATATGTTCCAATGCATTACCCAAGGCATCATCTGCAGAAATTATAAACAAGCTTCACCAAGAAGGATTTCACTTATCTGACAGCTGTGATAGTGAAGTGGCAGAGGTACAGATTTTAATTGGGAATGATTACTTGAACTACATTTTAACGGGGAAAATACATCGGTTAACAGACTATTTAGAAAGCATATTCAGTTGGACACTAAGTGGAAGAGTGGGGGGGAGAGAGTAAGAAGCTAAGTTCAGGGTCAGACTCCACCGGCTTGTTTATATACATCGATTCGGAAGAGGAATTAAAAATATTGGAACAGATTCGTCAGCTTTGGGAGATTGAAAGTCTAGGAATCTCAGAGTGCGCGTTGGAAAGGAGTTCTGGCAATGAGCGAATAATTAAACAATTTGAAGAGGATTTGAAATATGTAGACGGAAGGTATGAGGCTCGCTTGTTGTGGAATAGGAGTCCAGAGCATTTGGAAAATAATTTTGGTTTAGCGAAAAGGCAGTTCGAAAGGGTTGCAGCGAGAGTTTAAAAGGTAACAGCTTTGTGAGGGAACAGTTTATGGAAATAATAAAATTTCAGACACAAAACAACATTATTCAAAAGTGTGAGGATACGAGAGAGGGTTACTTTATGCCATTCCGAGCAGTGGTCCGTAAAGATAAAAATAGCACTCAAGTTCGAATGGTATTTAATTGCAGCAGTTGCGAAAGAGGAAAGCTATCATTAAACGATTGCTTAGAAAAGGGCCCAAACCTAAATCCGAATATTTTGGATATCATTCTTGCCTTTCGAAAATTTAAAATTGGATTCTGCGGTGACATAGAAAAGGCGTTTTTGATGATTTGGATAGCAAGGGAAGATAGGCAATATTTAAAATTTCTCTGGTATCCTGATAATGACAGTGAGGACTTTAAAATTATGCAAAACGAACAGATTATTATTTGGATGTAATTGTTTACCGTTTTATTGAGTGCAACGATAAAACATCATTTAAAGAATATGCGGAGGAAACAAACAAAAACTGTGCGAGATGTTAAATAGCTCACTGTATGCAGACGATTTGTGTTATGGAGGCGAAAGTGTAGAATCAGCTTCAGTCTTTCATCAGAGGCGGTATCTATTTTGAGAGACGCGAGTTTTAATTTGAGAAAGCTAAACACTAATTCTAAAGAGCTGTATGACTTGTGGGTTCAGAAAGGGTTGTGTGAAGAAAGTAGGTCTGAGAGAGATAGTAAGTTGAAAGTGTTAGGCTTGGTGTGGAACTTAGAAGAGGATGGTTTGAGAGTAGACGTTACATCATTGTTGAGTAGTTTAGAATCGTTGAGAAATAGCAAAAGGTCGGTGTTAAGCACAGCAGTTAAGGTGTTTGACTTCAGTTGGATTTATTTCTCCATTTGTGGTGCGAGTTAAGAGACTGATGCAGGAAATATGGGAGAGAGGTTTGGAGTGGGATGCAGAGTTGCCAAAGGAGTTACGGTGCAAATGGATAAAGTGGTGCGCTGAAATTGAGGAATTAAATGCGTTGAAAATAGAGAAGTACTACTTAACAGAAGTTCTAAGTAAAGGTCAGTCGGTTGAAATTCATATTTTCAGTGATGCGTCAGTAGTGGCATATTTTAGATATAAGAATAAGAGAGGAGAGGTATGTACGTCGTTTATAATGTCGAAGAGTAGGATAGCTCCGTTAAAAAAGTTGTCCCTCCCTAGGTTGGAATTGATGGGGGCTGTAGTTGCAGCTAGGTTAGGAAAATATTTATTGAAAATGTTTCAGGATTTAATAGGTAGGTTAGTTCTGTGGACGGAATCCAAAATTTGCTTGTGGTGGATAAAGGGGTCAGCGCGTGAGTGGAAGCAGTTCGTGTCGAATAGAGTTGCAGAAAAACAAGGACTGTAACCTCGCCTGATAAGTGGGAAATATTGTCCAGGGTCGGAAAACCCAAGCAGATAAACTAACTCGTGGTGGTGAAACAGCAAATGCATTGGTGTGAAAGATAATAACTGGTGGTATGGTCCATCATGGTTGAAAGATTCTAAAGATCAATGGCCTGAGCAGAAGTTTTAAAGTAGAAAACTGATACTCAAAAATTTGGAACGTTTTAAGCACTTATGTTCAGGTGGACTATTCCAAAAAGAAGAAAATGTGTTAGACATTACCAAATTCAGCAGTCTCGAAAAAATTGTGAGAGTTACAGCTTGGGTTAAAGCGGTTTGTTGCCAAGCTAAGAAACGTGCCTGTGAAGAAGGTCCTCTTACTGTATTGAAGATCCAAGAAGCTGAGGGAGAGTACTGGATAAAACAAGTACAGAGAGCGAATTACTTTTCGGATATTCAACAACTAGAGAGGAATAATCTAATAACACCAGATTCCAAGCTTTACAGTTTAGCACCATATCTGGACAGTAGAGGTATTTTGCATGTCACAGGTCGTTTGGAACAAGCAGAATTAATAGATGACGAAAAACATCCCATTATTCTGCCCAAAACGAAGTTCACCGAACTAGTGATATTTAGTGAACACATAAAAGTATTCCATTCAGGAGTCATGGCAACATTGTCCAAAGTCAGGAATAAATTTTGGATACCTAAAGGAAGACAAGTAGTAAAGAAAGTTATTAACGCTTGCCTGGTGTGTAAAAAGTTTGCAGTGAAGCCTGCCAAACAATTAACGGGTCAGTTACCCAGAGATCGTGTAGTCCAAAGTAATCCTTTCATAGTTGTAGGCATCGACTGAAGGGGAGCAGTTACTATTAGAGAAAAAGCGGATAACCACAAAAAGGTGTACATAGCCTTATTTACATGCGCCGTCACTCGTGCTGTACACATTGAAGTGGTTTCAGATATGTCAGCAAAAAGTTTCATTTTTTCATTATGATGTTTTTTAGCAAGAAGAGGGAGCTGCAAAGTGATTTATTCAGATAATGCCAAGAATTTCTGCAGCACATGTGAAATAATTAAAGGATTTAAAAGAATCAAAGCAGATCCAAGTGTGAGTGATTTCTTGACATCCAAAGAGGTAACATGGAAACTCATACCTGAGCGTTCCCCATGGTGGGGAGAGTTCTGGGAGCGTTTGATGAGAAGCGTCTACGAACCTCTGAAGAAAATCTTAGGGAGAGCATTACTGACTTTCGAAGAACTCTCTACAATATTAACTGAGCTCAAGTGTGTGCTAAATAATAGACCCTTAACATACGAGAGCAACAAGCTGGGTGAACCTCGCCCGCTCACACCTTAACAGTTTTTATTTGCCAGGACGTGGTACATTTAACTTTCCCGAGCATTTCTTGGAAATTTTTAATAAGGTATCCGACAAAGAGACTTTAACTAGGAGGAAGCTTTACAAATCTAAGCTCTTAAAATTAACATGGATCAAGTGGAAAGAACAATATTTACTCCATCTTAGAAATGCGCATAACTTTGCTAATCCTAAAACTGAGCGGAACCTTAAGACTGGAGACGTTGTGTTGGTAGAAGGACCAAAACAATCCCAAAACTTTGGGAATTTGGGGGTGTAATTGAAAACGTGACTATAGGAGAGATGGACATGTTCGAGCGTGCCTCATTCGCACGCCCAAAGGACAATTCAGAAGATCGATCCAGATGTTATATCCTTTCGAGATTTAATTTAGAAGGATTTTGAGATATTATTAATTATTATTTCCATTTGTGGCTTTGGATATATACTAGTATAGATTATTCTTTATATTCATTCATTTGTACCATGTGAAATTTAGGATAATCATATTAATTAATGTTGATATTGTTATGTAAGTAAGTTTGTGTACTCTTATTAAAGAGTACAGGTGGGGAGTGATGTAGAAAAAAAAAGAGATAGAGGGCGCTGCGCCGCCCATATGTTTAGCTAATTAAGAGTTTACAGCAGAGAGGGTTGAGAGGTTGATGACAGTGGTTGAGAGTGGCATAGACTAGATACTCTGTAATCTGTGCTATATAATATTTGTACATCGTCTTCTCTTCATTAAATAGATTTAGTTAAAGGAGAGTGTCTTTGTTTGGCCAATAGAACACAAGAACCACCGATAAAAGAAGATGTAAGTAAGTTATTACAAGGAGTCTTACTCAGTGATCTAAAGTCTGACATTAAAAACAAACAAACAAACAAACAAAAAACAACAACAACAAAAAAAAAACTTGATTTTGAGACTGATATTTTCTACTTACAATAGTGTTTAGCTTTGCATTATGAAACTTTGGTTTCGTACTTGCATACAATTTTGTTGATAAACTGGGGGGGGGGGTGAAAGAAAGAATAAAAAAGAAAATATTTACCTCTTTATTTTGCAATGCTGTGTGCCAACGCCATCTTCGATAAAATGCATCTGTGTAGGAACTTGAAGTCAAAAGTGAATGAAGAGCTTTTCTTAAAGTTAAAAGTCTATCATGAAAGCCCCACATACCTATATCAAAAGTAAGAAATTTATACACAGTTCTTTGATAATACAATAAAACAAAAATTTATAACCATTTGATTCTGGAAATTTCAGTATTTAAAACATTAATTTTAACCTAGCAAGGTGATGCAGAAATTATATCATTACAAATATGAAATAGTTGTTGTGAAATGATGAAGCATTTTTATGATATTAAAGGAACCAAAATTTACAAAAAAATTGCAACATTTATTTTGTATTATTAACCATTTCTTTTAATTAAGATTTTTTTCGGGGGGGGGAGTATGCATGCATTAATACTTTCTCTTTAATTTTGTAGAAAGAAATAATTTCTTGCTTAGTTACAAAGTTATGTAATTATAATATCAAGAAGGCACCAGGTGAAAACTTTTGTTACATCATTTTCATTTAGCATTTCTTCACTTTACTCCATGAATTGGAAGATTTCACTTATCATATCTTAAAACCTTCATATTTTTTGGGTATCATCATCGTGAAATTTGGTGACTCAGGATAAAATACATCAAATAGGTTTTATATAAAAACATTTCAAGAATTCTCAGATGTTCTCGCAGCTGCATCGATTTTGAAAAGGCTACTTTAAAGCTGCATTTCTCTCTACAGAAACTTCTGATGTTCACTGGCTGAATGATGGATGTATAGTTTTGAGAAAAAGTAAAATGGAGACATTGTTTACTAAAACTTTAATAAACTGCATCAAATCATAAAGTTAAGGAACTGCATAACTTTCAATGAGTTTCCTTCCCTACTATGCCAATAAAAGAAAGCGAATACGAGCAATTTTTCTTCAGTTATTGGACCAAAACTGAAAATGCGACTACCTAACCAGCAAGTGCTTAAAAGTGGAACAATATGTCAGATATTGATTGGATATTTTTTTTTTTTTTTCAAAAGAAATGTAAGCTAATCTTAAGGAAAATCGATTTACAGTAGTCTCGCTTTTTTGTTATTATTGTCTGTTTCTACATAAGGTTAAAAAAAAAGGTTTTGCATTATCTCCAGATAATAGATGATTCTGGTAATTAGATATTTAAGATTTTGGACTTTGTACTGTACATGAGAGATACTTTTTATTGCTTTAGATTTTTATTTCTGTAATTAAGTCAGACAGTATATATATATATCAATAAAACTGGAAAAATATTTGTTTCCAGTTCCTTTTTTGCCCTGCTAAAAAAGGAAGATGAATGACATGCATTATAAATTGCAGTATAGTATAGAAATAATAATACAATTAAAAGTAAAAAATGCATGCTCCATGAAACCTGGATGAGAAGTGATGATTTAGATAAATGTTAAAAAATAGCTATTACCACAAAAGGTTTAACATCCTTGCTTCCTGTGAGTCATCTATATACATAAAGAAGAAAGTCTATTTGTTTGCTAATAACTCAGTCACTATTATAGTTACCATCATCAAACTTTCTACAATTTTTTTATGGGTCCTGGAAAAGGTCGACGTCCATTCTTTTCCAAAAAAAGTAGCTAAAATCAGAGATATTAATTGAAATCTTGAAAAAACGATAATTTTCACTCCCATTTTCCCGAGTGGCAACAGTTTCACAAGCTGGAGATGAAAATCTGTATTTCGAAAGTTGTTGCCACTGCTCGCTTTCAAATTGGAGAATTTGTTAATAAATTTCTAAGTTTTACAATGAAACAAAAACAGCATTGCCAAACATTAAATACATTATTCCTGATTCAAAAAAATTCGTGGGAAGCTATTTCGACCGCATACGACTTTAACCAGCTGAAATATTAATTAAAAACTCCGAAAACATTAATTTTTGCACTCATTTCTTTGAGTGGCAACAGTCTCGTACGTTGGAGATAAAAATGCTTTATTTTGAAATGTGTTGCTACTGCTTGCTTTTAAATCATAGAATTTGTTAATCAAATATTTGTAAGTTTAACAAAATCTATATATATATATAAAAGGAAGTTTGTTTGCGTTACTAATTATGTGAGTGGTAAGTGAATATTAAGTGAAATAATTTATAATTAATAATCTCTATACTAATTCTGATTAATAAGTGGAACTTGAGCTTTTACGACCATTTCATTAGAAAGGTGAAAATCATTAAAACTGTGTGCCATTGTTGCTGATATAATGAAAGAGTGATCATATAATGAAGTTTATTTTTCTATCGAAATTTTTTATGTGGGTTCCATATCACATCAGACTGAAAAATGTATGACTATCAATCGTATTTTTTGCATCTTTATTATAGAAGGTTTACAGCGGTATTGTTCTCTCTGTTGTTAAATGCATCACTCTCAATCTAACTTAACTGCCAATGGGTACTTCTGCTAGTTATAAATAAGGGTATAACTAGCCACATGGCAGGCTTCAAGTTCATTGCAATGAAACTTACACCAATACCATAAATGCATTAAAAATCATTTGAAAAATTACCTCTTAAAACTCAAAAGGTATTTTCTCCCCGATCGCGGACACTTAACTGATACCAGTTAGCCGACAGGGTCACTTAGCCGACACGAACACTTAACCTACAGGTCACATAGCCAATACGGACAGTTAGCTGAAACAGAGAGTTAGCCGTCAGGACATTTAGGTACGGGAAACTTAACTGTCAACACATTTAGTAAACAGGACACTAAGCTAACAGTGACGTTTAGCTGACACGTACCCAATAATTATTCAAACTTACTATGAATTACAAAATTTCTCAAATTTTCCATAAGTTCAAATTATTTAAGTTATTTTTTTCAATATCGGTAAAATTCATTTTTTTGATTCTTAAAGACATCATATGTGCTTTTTTTAATTATTGTGTTAATTTAGCATTGTTTGATATGCATCGTGCTGTTTGGTGTATATTGGCCAAATTGAAAAAACGACGAAATTTCTCGTCAGGGAATATGAATGAAATTTTGAAAGGAAAAAAGAATTTTTTTTAGCTAAGTATGGTGATCACTTAATTACATCTTAATGTCAGATTTTCAAAAATTATCCATAAAGCTTCTTCATTTAATCAACTGGGTTCTTTTGAACACTTTCACATCATTAATAATTTTTCTTGTTTACTTAATGATATTGATTTTCCAATCTCGCTCTTTAATCTTTCAAATTTCTAATATCTTAACGTTTCATTACTATTTTACTCATTATATCATGCCACATTCTTTCCCTTACAAAATTGTTTGGCTCCTCCCACTAATGAAAGCCCACGGCAAGAGGTTACTGCAACAGGTCAGCTTAGTAACCTGTTGACTAAATGTCTTGACAGTTAAGTGTCCTGACCGCTAACTTTCTGTGTCGGCTAAATGTCCTTGTCGGCTAACTGTCCGTATCGGCTAACTGTCCGTATCGGCTAACTGGTGTCGGTTAAGTGTCACAGACCCAGTTTCTCCCTTTCTGTATACCTTTATGGTGTAATGATAGCACACTCGCCGCATATTCGAGTGGTCCAGGTTCGAGACCCATTGAGGCTCGAACCGGCATTCCTCACTGTCTCAAAACTCCTAATGACTCTACAAGTGTGCCCAAACTAAGAGGTGATGGATGATGATTGGGTCTCCCAATTTTAATTTGGTGATTGAGTCTCGCAATTTCCAAGGAAGTTCCCTCCTTTCTGCATGCCTTTGTGGTGTAACGGTAGCATATTCAGCGCATATTCGAGAGGTCTAGGTTCAAGTCCCAGTAAGGGCATGGCTCATTTTTCACATCTCCTGTCTCAAAACTCCTATCTACAGACATACAAACTGAACATATAAAGTTTCTCTGTTAGTCATCAATTCCCACGACAAAGTTAATAATTTAAAAATAAAAACTCTAAAAAAGTCTAATATGCCAGATATAAAAACTAATAACATTCTTTATTAAGACACAATAACATATAACATTCTTTATATTTAATAATGAAGGCAATGAAAAAGTTAATAAAAGTGATTATACATATAATTTTCCTTCTGAATAAAATAAAAAAATATTTAATAAAGAAATATTTACATATAAAAAAAGAAAATATATATATATACTATTATTCTTTCTAAATTTTATGAAGCACAGAAATAATATTAGTGACTGCATGTGTTGCCAAAGCATGTTAAAAACTAAATTTTTGCAGGCATAACCACTGTTTTCATTGGTTTATCTAAGAATCTTAAATACACGTTATCGTAGCATTTATCATCACCCGAAATCAAACACTTATTAGTTTCCCTTTTATATTCCACCCTGCTACTGTATTATGGCATGGATCCTATTTGATATTTGATTTACTGGAAGTCTAACTTCCACTATCAGTCACCTGCAAAATAATCTTCTTCATTCAGAAAACTGAAATGTCTAGTTTTTTTAAAACGATTTTATAATTTGGCTTTTCTGCTTCCAGAGATTAAAAAAAAAAAAAAATTGTCTCACTGATTTTGTAATAGAGGGCTGGCTTATATACTAAGTATACCTAAAACAACTGATCATTTAGATAAAATTTTGGGATTGACTTATATTCTTGAAAACATAGTACAAGTTACTTAAAGAAAAAATTACCTAGTGATGCTGCATGAAGAAGGCAATTCCCATCACCTGTGGTAGATAAGGGCCATAGTTTGCGACTGATTTTTCTAGAATGCCACCAATTTAGTCTACCTGCAATAAGAAGTTACACAGAAAATATTATACAGGATAATTAAAAAATATCCAGCAATTTAGATACTTTTTCATCACCATCTATACATACAAATGTATACATATCTACACAAAAAGTGATTCAAAACTCTAAACAAATTTTAAAGCATCTCGTATATATACAGTCAAAAGTCGTTAATCCAGACTCGTCGGGACTTTGGCGATTCCGGATTATAGATCATCAGTTTAAATCTGGTAAGATGGCATGCAGAAATTATAAAATTAAAAATATGAAACCGTAATTTAGGAAATAAAGAACAATTATGATCTAAAGGGTATCAAAATTTACTTTACTTTCTTCGCTATCGGAAGCGAATTATAATGACGAAGAATTTGATTTAAATCATATTAAAGACGGAATACATTGAGATGAAATACTACATTTAGTAAGGAATTATAAGCCAAATAAAATAAAAACATCTGCCTTGAAGATAAGGATAGTGCTGACAGATCAACTTTCCAAATAATTGCGCGCCGCGGCGTCCCCCCCCCCACACGCTGCATAGGAGCGTGAAATTGATAAACAGATTTCGGAATGGTTAGAGTAAACAAAGGAATATGCCTTCATTCCATTTTTTGCGACAATTCCACTTTTTGTTTAATGGACTCCGAAAGATACTTTCGCTTTGTATATCCTTTACATATTAGTAAATATATATCGGAAATTCTATTTCCCCTCCACCCCGCCGCAGAGCAGAGTGAAATTGATAAACAGATTTCGGAATGGTTAGAGTAACACAGGATATGCCTTTATCCATTTTTTGCAGCAACTCCACTTTTTGTTTAATGGACTTCGAAACATACTTTCACTTTGTATATCCTTTACATATTAGTAAATATATATCGTAAATTCTATTTGACGTAATCGAAAGTTCAAGCTTACTTTTATAAAATTGCTCTAACAGTCTGCAAAATATAATAAGCCAGATCCAATTCGAAAATTAAGGAACAACGCAATACTGAATTAGATAATTTTAGCTTAGCTTATACTGTTCGTTATACATTAAACGCGCGTGCGTAAACGTATTTTGGGCATGAGCACACGCATATTCGCAGCCGTAAAGGTCTTACATGCATGCGTCAACGCGACGCATGCGCAGAAAGTTTGTAGCTTTGAGGTCCGGATTATAGATCATTCCGGATTATGGGTGTCCGAATTAACGACTTTTGACTGTACATGCTTTTGAAAAAAAAAAAAAAAAAAAATCAAAGCAACATGAAGGAAGTGGTTGTTTTTGATGAAATTGAATATGTGTATAGTTCATATACAGATAATATAATGATTAAAAAATCAAGGTCATGGTACCAGTTCACAGCTCACAATCACCCACTAAGTGTTCAAATTAGTAGTTGGTCGAACCGCCCCTGGCGGAATTGCACGCTTGAATTCGTCGAGGCAAGGAGTGGTAGAGAGGTTCCTAATGTCATCCTGCGACACATTCTGCCAGGCATTCATTAGCTATCGCTCCAGATCTGTGATATTTTGTGATGCCCGAATCTGGCTGCCTACCATGCCCCAGACATGCTCGATTGGTGAAAGGTCTGGTGACCTTCCTGGCCAAGGAAGACTATCAACTACAGGGAGACAGTCCAGAGATATGCAAGTGGTATGTTGCCTGGCTTTACCAGGATGGTGTGCCATGAAGGATAATGCAACCGGCCGCAGAATGGTATGGCCATATCATCCTGCGGCCGGTAAACTTAGCCGATATATTTATATGAGCTGTTAAAGATGTACGGAGGATGACTAATGATGACCTGCTATCATAAGAAATAGCAGCCCACACCATCACACCAGGGATTATAGCTGTACGCTTTTGCAAAACAAAGGCTGATTGGGACCGCTGGCTACATCATCTCCAGACATGTAGTCCTCTCCAGCGATGAATACTATACGATGCCAATCATGATGATCAGCTGCAAGATCACTGCAGACAACTCTGCCGAAGTTGTGGAGTCAAAGGCAAACATTTTAAAGGCCTCTATGAGCATAATCCCGCCTCAAACAAGTGCCATGGGTACCATGGGAGCTATAGATGTCGCTGTATAGTCGACATTGAATAGTCGACAATGATACCGTTGAGCAATTCAGTCCTGGAGAACAATCCTCCTATCTTGCCTTGCATTTATGCTCCTTGGCCTTCCAAAGCCTTTATTTCGTAGGCAATTTCCTTGCCTATTGCTCGGTATGACCACCCAACTTCACGCAACCCTACTATGCGACCAGGTTCAAAGTTGTTTAGTTGTCTGCAAGGTGTTCGATATCATCGTAATGGCATCTTTAGTTGCTTCTTTATGGAATTACAATGGCAGCAACAAAAAAAAAGTTAAATTTTCTGCCTCCGTTACTCATTTTATATTTTGCGAATTGCGCGCTATGATCACAATTCGTATTATTTGCATGTTCAATCAAGATGTTTTTGCATACAAAATTTCATCACGATTGCAAAAGTCCTTCTTGGTGCTTCGATTTTCTTGCAAAAGAGTGTAAAACTCTCTTTTGTAAAAATAACAGCCTGTAAAAAACAACAAGTTTATATTAGAGAACTTCTTGTTTCTCTTGAGAACGAACAGCAATGTCTGCCGTGGGCCAGTGAAAATGCACAGAAGACACATTAAGGACAAACACCTGATCTGGCAAAAAAAATTTAAATGTTTGGTTTAGGCTGAGAAATGTCAAGCGAGCAAGACGCAACGAGTCAGAAAAGTTGCTCTAAAGCCTATGTAAAGTTTTTAAATAAATTTTAAAAAGACAATCACTGTTTTCCATCACAAAAGCTCAGTGACTTTTCACAGCCCCATGAAGAAATCACGTGAATAAACTAAGAGGAAATTTAAAGCAGATAATGATATGAAATAAATAATTGGAATTTCACAGAGATTGCTTATGCAAGGCAGAGTAGCTCCATCTTAGCTGTATAAAAAGAGAGCTGTAATATAATGTTAAGTACAGTGTTTCATTATCTACCAGCAAGAAACATTTCATGAAACATCACAACTGTCGCATAACTACTCCACCTTTAGGTCAAAGCAAATGTGGTAACAAGTGTAATGAAATAATTTTCTTGAAGCAACTGGTATCGCTGTTTATGTTTAGAATTAATTTTAATTTTAAAGAATAACTTTGTAATAAAATTCTATGGAGAAAGCAGATTAGTAATCTATCCATTTTTAAAACAACGTCTCACCAATGACAAAAGGCCCAATATACACAAGTGTTTCAAGTACATAGTACAAGTGTATACATAGTATTTCAAGGCCAAATGATCGATATGCAAAATGCAGGATTTTCCTATCATGAAATCACAATTTGTAAAGGGCATAATGCTTCTCCGGTGATGTGTGTGTGGAAACAGAGAAACAAAAAGTCACAAACTTGACAATGGAGAAAAAAATCTTACATCACCAGAGGATAACAAACACATATTTCCTCTGCATGATGGGCAAACATTGGAATACTACTACAAATGTTCCATTGTGAACTCGAACAACTTACCCATGTCTGCTGTGTTGTGAATTTCCTGCATGCATTCCTTTACACAGGATTTCTATGATAAAAAATCCTCAATGCCTGTGACTACAATGGGTCATAAACACAGCTATGCAGTACCACAACTGTCAACAATTTGCCTTTCCTAATGAATTTGGCTTCAATTTGGAACACAGTGATAAACAAGTATGCACTAGACATTATAGGGGTCAATGCTATTTTTTGGAGTGCCTTAACCTGAGTCACACTGGACTACTGCCACACCTGTCATTGAGGTACCAGTGAGCATGATGGACGATCTCATCCTCTCTAAATTGAAGGTACTCTCAGTACAATATAATGTTCATTCACATGTTATTTAAAATATTGAAGATTTCTTCTCAGCATATCAGATAGCCCTTCTTCCTTTGCCTGCCCATTCACTAGACATGTTGCTTATAGAACAAGTTAGGGATTTCACAAGTCAACAATTTATTTATGACAGACATCCCTCTGCCAAGACAGACTTTCTCTAGGCTCGGATAAAAACAATATGGAATGCTAATCAGGTATACATTCAAAATCTGTTTGAGTCAATGCCACATCGAGTATGAGCTTTTACAGCAGTGCTTGGCAGCTGCACAAATACAGATTTTTGGCATTAATATGGTACTTATATTACTCTGCAAATTCAATCACTCCTTTGTATTCTGCAGGGCATGTATGGAATAAATTTTATTCAGTTTTATAATTACTTCAAGATGTTGGAAATTTGCACAAATAATAATATATAAAGAAACCATCAGGGAGACTCAAATTTTAATGATAATGATGAAAATATTTTGGTTAAAATCACAGATAATATTTTGGTTAAAAATTCCCATATATTTCACTGTCGCAGATGGGAACAAAAATGGCAGTGGTCAATTTGGATGTTGCAGCAAAATGTTCTATAGTGTCCAAGGCATGTAGCATTTCCTGGCGGGTGAGTACAAAATGATATTGTCCACCTCACTTTTTTCTGATGAAATTTCTTGCACCTCAGACATAATAACTTGTACATCAGATTCCACTGCAGCCCACATGGCAATACCATCGTCTACATTTACAAACTCCTTAAAACTAACAGAAGGGTTCTCAATGTCTTGCAGACTATTCCATTCATCAGGTGAAGAGGTATCACTGTCAACAGGATAAGCATCTTTATATGTCTCCAGGCTTTACTTAAACAGTTTTGTATGTAATGCAAGGACACAGATTTCCAGAGTTTGCTGAATAGCTTTTGCTTCATCAAGCACACTCCAAGTTAGCATTTCCATCTTCTTTCAACACCATGAATTTCAGCTCTCACAAGTTGCTTGCTATAAGACCTCTTCATAACTGCAACAATGCCTTGACCCAAAGGCTGAAGATGAAAGTTCCAGGTCATATATGTTATGGGCTGTACATCTGCCCAGTGTCATAATAACATGCCTATTCCAAGCCACTATTCGACAACTAAAGCGAAGAAGCCAAAGAAATCTTGTGTCTTAATTTTTGGCAAAAAAACAGGACAAAGAAATCTTTAATGTGATAATTTTTGCAATCTTATTTGCTTCTGACCGAATTACTTTACTCAGTTGAAGCTACATTAAAAGCACTAATATAGTTGAACTAATCTAGAAGTAAAATTTCAGTACCTTTGTACTCAGCACTGTGAAGTCGCTTACATTTGTTCCTGAAACCTGATGCAGCAGCATTAAGAAATTTTTCATGATCTTTAAATGTATCATAGAATATGACAGAATTCTTAAAGATCACGAAATTGGTAACTGTACTTTTTTGCAATACACCTCGATCTACTTCCTCTACAATTTTTAGTTTTAATTGTAGATTTATGCCTGTCTTCTTTCTCTTGGTCATGATTCACGCTTTTACTGCCTGCAGTTTAAAGTTAATGGTTGTGTCTTGAAAGCTATTACAGTGCCATCTACACAAGTGTGGAAGTGAACAATGCCACAAGAACTTTCAGAAAATTAAGACATGTTGGTGCAAGCTAAAAATTTATATATAACTAAACTGCAGTCCAGTTAATCTATGTACATATTTTTTGTAAATGCAATTTATTTAAATTTTAACTGGAAATATTTATATGCCGTTTTCTACTGAATTTTAGGAAGAAAAGATACTAACTCCGTAACCATTGGAAGAAGACAGGTACGTAATTTTAACAGATCAATTCAGAATTATTCAAGATTTAACATTACTAGCTAATTTTTAATGAATAAAAAAGCACATCTGGATAGAGAACAGCATTTTTTGACTGAAGAAGCTCACTACTGGTGCAATGATCGTGATTTTCAAGCAATGTTACCCATGCTGACTATGGCTTCAAGAATACAATATACACTGTAATACTTTCAATTAAACGAGAAGAAATATTTTTGAACGCAGCTCTATCAGAGCTACAACAGGAAAAAATATGAAAAGCTTTGAAAGTTCATGTTAAATGATAAAATATAATATGCAGTGGACTAAAAAATAGTTTGTAATTCTCTGTTAAATAAAATTTGCATTAATTGATAAAACTCATATAAGATCATACACATCACAGCCAGCACCAAAATTTTATTCATGTTGACTGAGTGTTTGTCTTAAGCTAGTTTGTGTTTATTGTATTAAAATTTAGAAACTAAAACCTTAATTAGCTGAGAGAATAAAACAAAACCATAACAATATTTTTCTTAATCTAACATTGATATTATAATCTGTCCATTGTTCTTTCATTTGTTGAGCTGCTTTGTTTGAACCAGTTACGATTACTGTGATATCTTCACACACAAGCACTGCTATCACTCACCTACATCCTGACCTCAAATAGTTCATTGCATATATATATATATATACATATATACACATGGAGAGAAAAATAATAATAAAATTCAGAAAAAATATCAAAAGATATTAAAATTTAGAAAATTTCAGTCTTTTGCAGTAACATACTTGAAATTCTATTAATATTTGATAACAAATTCAATAAGTTATACCTTTTAAATTATTCTTCTAAAGCTTATGCAAATTATATTTTTAAGCAATTACATATTACAATGATGCATTTTTCAGTAGGACAACCTAAATATTTAAACTTATTTATTCATGATGTCTCATATAAAGGTATTAAATTTCAATGTGTTATTCCGAAAAAAAAATTAGCATACAAAATATGGCATAACATTTTACAAACAATTAATAACAATATTTTATGTTCTAATATACAGAAGTCTTTTGTAGAAAACACAGTATGATGGAATCAAAAAAGATATCGTTAGGAACATTAAAATACACAAAATGTTCCCAGATTATGCATTTGTAACTCACCAGCTTGTTCAAGAGAAACTAGTGTGGAGGTTTCTATTAAATCCCGTAACAAATATTCCCTCAAATTTTCAGAAAACTGTGAAAAATCTGGCAGGGAAAATGTATATTCTGGTATTTCTAACTTTAAACATGAAGGTTTGATGTTCTGATCTGAAATATCAAAATCTTCAGCAATTTCTTTTCTAGCTTTAGAAACAAGACTGAAATTATCAGTAGCTCTAGATATACCTCTTGATAATTTCTTGCCTGAAAGAAGGAAAAATAGTAAACAAAATTATTAATGCACTGATAACTTTGCACAAATTCATATTTTAAGGAAACATTGTAAACTATAGTTTTTAAAAATACACTAAAAAAGTTCAATTTTAATTTCAGAGAGCAAAATTTAAAGAAGTGTTTCAAACCTTAAGTAAGAATATTTTTATTACTCACTACAAGAAATTTAAAAAAGGGGGGATGAAAGGTTAGATATGTTTAAATTATAGTTTGTTACAATATGCTTAAGTATCACCAAAGACAATTTCATAAAAGTGCACTGGCTTCCAAAAGTTACACATGCCACAGTAAGACCAAGAAAACTGGAAAAACAAGGCTTTGATTAACACACTTAAATTGCACATGATGGTAGCAAATGTATGTATGTATGAAAGAAAACAAACATTATATAGAAAGATGAAAGGGGTGTTTAATCTTCATTAATTATATGATGAAGTGACATTTGAGTCATTAACAAATAGATGCTTAACAATATTAATAAGGTATTAATAAGGTACATGATCATCCCAGACCTTTACACAAATTTCACAGTGATTGCCCATGCTTTCAATGAAGTGATGAACCATTGCAGACGCAGCAGTGGCATTTGTCCATAAGGGTAGTTTTTTAACTATCCGAGACTAGCTGGAGTAACAAGATACAGAGACAACAATCCCAAGATTTTTAATATGATTACGATCAGAGGAATACGGTGCCCACTCCATATAAGAAATGTCCTCCCTCTCCAGGTATTCACTCATAATGCTGACTCAATAGGGTTGGGCATTATCATCCATACGGAGGAAATATGGACCGATGCTACAGTGTAGTCTCATAATGCTCTGTAAGACTTCATCTGATATGACACATCTGTTGCTTAACAAGTAAATCATAGGTTCGAAAATCTGAGCTGACACTTTTTAAAAACACCAACATTTATTTTCACGCCATTTCTAATTCTATAAAATCTTAAATGCAACTAACTATCAAACAGAAAAGCAGACGTAGACGTAATGATGCATCATCTGGGCACGTGATCCTCGTGACAGACGAATGCTTTAAAGTTGCCACAGAAAGGCAGTGTGTCGCCACAATTCTCCCACCTTTTGAGTGGATGGCTATACACTCAAAACATAAAACTCACATCAATATAAATGATGGTTATATAACAAAGAAAATTACTTAATACTTAAATCATATTACTTGAAAACAAAATTAATACTGAGGAATAATACAACAATAATAGCACAAAAAAATAAATCATAATAACTCAAAGACATAAATTACATTATTCGTGATTTTACAACTCTACCACTACTGGTGGTGAAAGGAACTTGCTCATTTTGAGTATTATCTATTATATTATCCAGTTCCAATCTAAACAATCTCTGTATTGGTCTCAAGAACTCTGAATTATTACTTTTTACAAGAGCAACTCTTATGTTGCCATCTCGACCAGGGATCACTCGAATAACGCGTGCTAAATTCCAATATGCACGGTTTTTATTTTGATTCTCCAGCAAGACAATTTCCCCTACAGAGAGAAGTTTATTTTTGTAATTTCTGGTAGACTGCTGTTTTAACTGCCGTAGATACTCAGAACGAAATCTCACTTTTTAACAATTCTTTCATTCTCTGGTGATACTTCGCTCTTCTACTCAATTTTTCTTTGTCCACATTGTCAATATCAGGTACATCCGACTGTGGAGTTTCATGCAGAAATTTTTCCGGACTTAAAGGCAAGGGATCTTCAATATCGTCAAACATGTACGTAAGTGGTGTTGAGTTGACATTTCTTTCACAATCGCACAAGGTGGAGAATAACTCTTCATAACCAAGAGAAGCACAACCTAAAATTTTTCTTAATATTTGTTTTATAATTTGTATTAAACGCTCCCACCATCCACCCCACCAAGCGGCAGATGGAAGATTAAATTTCCATTGTATTCTTTTTTCAGCAGCTTTAGAGCAGAGGCAGCCCCAGTCAATAGTTTGCAGAACTCTCTCTGCACCCACAAAATCCATTATCGGAATATATCCCAATATCGGAATATGTGGTGGTAGGGTGGTGGAATATATGGTGGTAGGGCAACCACGACTTGCGATAAAATGCCTTTAAGCCTGAAAAAATAATTCAGTTGTTAATGAGGTAATCAGTTCCATATGAATAGCATGATAAACTGCACAGGTGAAGAGCACAATATATGATTTTCGTCCATCCTTTAAATGCAAGAGTCCTGCAAGATCACATCCTAAGACTTCAAAAATGGCTGAATCACGAACCCTATCATTTGGTTAAAACGCCTGGGACTGTCTCTACTCTTTTAGCCTTTAATCTCTGACATGTTACACATTTTCTTATACAGTTCCTTATAGTTTTACGTGATTTTAAGATCCAGTATCTTTCTCTCAAATGCGACATTCAATAATGTAGTACCTGCATGCAACAAACTCTTTGTGAGCACTTAATATCAATAATTTGACTACTGGTTTGCTCAGAAGGTAATATAATGGGGAACTTAAAGCTGCTAGAGTCGTCACGATAAGCAAGCATTAGACCTAGCTCTTTTATTAGACCCTGACTATCGACAAACGGTCTGAGTAGTCTTAGCTTATCATCATGTGTTGCACCAATAAACGACTGTTTTTGTATTAATAAGCATTAAAGCTATTTCTCCCCTTTCTATTTCAGATACAGTCAAATCCTTAGAATGGTTATTATTATTCTTACGTACATTATTATAAAATCTGAATATCCATGATAACATTCTTACAATTTTCTTAAATGATGAGAAATACTTATAGTATCATCCAATACAATTATCATTCTTTACCAATGTAACAATAACTGTCGTACGTATTTCTGAATTAACTAAATCCTCATCTAGTTCATCATTAGATTTAGGCCAATTTGCCTCATCTTCCCGTAACCAATCAGGACCCTCCCACCATTTTCGTTCTATTAATTGATCTGCATAACAACCTCTAGAAAGTAGGTCAGCAGGATTGAGACTACCAGGGACATGTCGGCATACAGTGGTGGAGATCAAAGACCTAATTTCCTGTACACGATTAAAAATGAATGCTCCCCAACGTTGATTTCGCCGTATCCAACTTAAAGCCGTCGAGGAATCAGTCCAACAATGAATACGAACTTCATGTAGGCCAATATCATTAATAACTGAAGACAATAACCTAGAACCAATATTACAAGCAAGAAGCTCTAATCGAGGAATCGTAATAGGTTTTAAAGGCGCTACTCTCGATCTTGCGTATACCAAACTAACCTTTACCTTTTTGCCACTCTGTACTCTTAAAAAGACGCATGCACCATACGCACTTTTACTACTGTCACAAAAGAGATGTATACTCACAGCTTCATTAATAGATCTGTGACCCATCCATCTATGTATTTGGATACTGGATAGCAAGTACAACTTTTTAAGCCAAAACTTAAACTTTTCGGTTAATTCATCGGGAAGAACATCGTCCCATTTCAGCCTTAAATTCCAAGTTTCCTGTAAAATTAGTTTTGGAACCAACATTACAGAAGCCGTATGCCCTATAATGTCAAACACCTGATAAGCTACTGCTAAAACTAGTCTTTTAGTAACTGGGTCATCCAATTTTATATCTTGACTTATTTTGCAGGATAAGGTATCTGTAACTGTATGCCATTCAAAGCCCATAACAGATACATCTCCTTCCGTGGAGGTATCTTCCTCTGGCACAACACTTCTTATATTGGATTTCCAGAATCTTGAATTAAAATGACCCAAAGCCATAATTATTTGTGATTTATTTACAAACTTTCTCATTTCTATTTCTGAATCCATACTAGCCACACAGTTATCTACGTAAAAGGATGTTTTCAATATCTCCGCTGTATGACTTAAGCTTTCGGGATCTACACTCAAATGATATTGTATTGTAGCGGCCAATAAATATGGACTACACGTAATACCAAAAATTACCCTTCTATGCCGATACAGGTCAACTGTATCGGCATAGATATAGTTAGGCATAGATATAGGTTATCCCTACTGAACCACATAAATCTAAAAAATTCTCGATCTTTTTCCCTTATAGATATTTGCAAGAACGCTTTTTCTATATCTGAAGTGACACCAACGTAATTCTTGCGAAACTGATTAAGAATCGAAGGTATAATTTCAATTAAATTTGGTCCAGAAGATAAACAATCGTTCAATGATGGGTAACCAGGCGAATGAGAACTTGCATTAAACACTGGTCTTATACTCGTGCTACTATTTTCTTTAACAACCGCTCTATGAGGTAAATAATGTACACCCTTATATTTATTCTTATCCGGTTACTTTTCAGTTATCCCGAGTGCTAACTAGTTCTGGAAAACGTCTCCGTAAGCGTCAAAATTTCCCTTAGTCATTAATTTTCTTTTAGTACTTACAAGACATTTTTTTGCTATCACTTTGTTTTCGGGTAAAAGCGGCTATCCGAGACCCAAGGCAATGCTATTTCGTACCTTCCCTCTGAATTTACCGTAAGAGCCTTCTTCAAAATATTTTTGAGTATCCTCCTGTAACTGAGTTTTCGGTTTTACTTATGGAAGGTTCACTAATACCCAAAACATCTAACTTCCAGAGATCACTAGTACATTGACCCTTCACTAACAGAGAAGAAATTAGGAGGGTTGCAGTATTTATCGTAGTTGGCTCAGTGCCAGTAAATTTACCCATAACAAGGTCCAGCCTAACTGCGTATGCATCGCGCTGATGCCGCACGTAAGGGGGAAAAATTTTTCTAGTTAACAACTTATCAGCAAAATCCGCACCAATTAAGTAATTTTATCTCTTTATCAACCTTACATGGTACCATTTTCTAAATCCACTTAATTTGATACCATGTGACTTGAGTTTCGCGTGAACCACGAACCAGATGGGAGTTGCTTAATTTCAGAACAAATTTTGTTTCGACCAATTACCTCTAATTTACACTTATATTTACTATAT